TTTCTAAGAAATTTATGTAATGGATTGAGTATGTTTTCTACAGAAAATGTTTAAAAGACTTCACCAATGAGACCATTTATAGGTGGAGCTTTCTGTTATCAGATGTTTTTAATTATGAATTTCAGTTCTTTAATAAAATAGGATATAGAATTTCCTTTTTCTTAAATGATACTTTTGCATTTGTATCTGCCAAGGAATTTGTCAATTTTATCCATGCTTTCAACATTATGGGCATAAATTTTTCCACATTGGTCCTTAATAGCTTCATTTTATTATTATTATTATAATTATTATTATTATTATTATTTTGGTACTGGGGATCGAACTCAGGTCCTTGAAGAGCTTCTTTTTAGAAAAAAAAGGAAATGTATATATATATATATAGGGGCTGGAGTGTGGCTCAGGGGCCAAGCACTTGCCTAGCATGCATGAGACGCTGGGTTCTATCTCAAGCATGACAGAAATAAATGTTTTATATAGCCTGTCAGGGGTGATGTGACGAGTGCCATGGAAGAAAGCAAAGCAGGAGCCAGCTGGGACAAGACACCTAGGGGATTTTTGTTGTTGTTGTTTTGTTTTATTTTGTTTTTTGAGACAAGGTCTCGCGATTACTTCGGGCTGGCCTTGAACTCACTACGTAGCTTCTTTAATGTCAACAGTACCTGTAGTTCTACTTCGCCTTTGTCTCAGGTACTGGAATTTGAGTCTTGTCTCTTTACCTGGTTAATCTGGTGAGAGGCTTATACATGCTACTGATTTTTAAGAAGAGAGGTTTTTCTTCTTTCATTGATATTCTCTAACAATTTCCTGTATTCAAGTTCTTTTTTTTTTTTTTGGTATCATCATTTGTATTTCCCTCTTTTGATATTCCGCTTGCTTATATTTACTTTCATTTAGGATTCTAGGTTCATGAGGTAACAACTGGTGTTGCTAATGTGAGATTTTCTAAAGTGAACCATGTATATTAGAAAATGTCCCCCAAATCATTAAGGGCAAACCATTTACAGTGCCTGCCTTTGGTAGCCAACTGTTTCGTCCCAAACGGTTTCATTGATAACATTACTTCATCAGTGTTGGGTATGTAGCCCCCAGATATCGTTATTTCAGTCCTTGGTGGCATTATCGCCTTTTAGTGGGGTGACATTTTTAGTCCTTTGGAAGGCCTTGAGTTGTTTACAGCATAAGGCAGGATGTAGGAATCATCACAATGAGGAAAACGGCCTACAAGTGATAACTTTCTCTGCCTCCACTGGGGATGTGACAGTCACCCACGAACCTCACCTCTTCTAAGTGGCAATCTGCACTCATGTAGCTGTTCACTCCCGCACCCTGGAGACACATGTGAAAGCACGATGCCTTTTCCCTGCTGACTGGTGAGGCAGTGTTACAGAGGAAATTAGTCTTCTGGACTCAGAGCTTAGCCAGTCTTTATCCTCTGTTGAAGGAGGCAGGAGTTAGTCTTACATTTCCTCATTCTTTACTCATACTTGTTTGTAAGAAAGAGACTTGAAAAAACAGATGACAGCAGCACTCTTCCCTTGGTTTAGTTAAATGTGAAATTACTGTAATGATCTAAAATTCCTTGGAAGAATCCAGTTATCGCTAATTGGTGAAGTTCTACTAGGCTCCTATGCATAAAGAAATTTGTCAGGGAAGAGTGGTTGTTAAAGACTGGCTTTCAAAATAAATACTATTTAATAAAACATAAAGAAGGCAAGAGAAAATTTTTAAAAGCATAGGGATAAATCATGCATAGTAACAGTAGTTTTTCTATAATCAGAGGATTTTCCCATTTGCTTCAGGAAATCCTGGAGTTAAATCTTTTTTCTGAGGTGAACATTCTCAGGACCATGGAGAGTAGGGGTCTAGGCTGTGCCAAGAATGAAAGTGAAGAGCTCTAGGGAGGACAAAAATGACCCGCAGAATTCAGTTATTACCCTCCTGTCAGAGCCCAGGTGCAACGATGGATGTGGTGTCCACAGACTGCTGCCTCTTCAAGTCAGAGAGAACCGATTGCCTTATTCTGGGGTTCAGGTGAGGGGAGTGGAGAGGAACTCAGCTCTGTTAGGGGTTGAGGTGAGTGCTGAAAGGGAAGTGTGTAAGCCCCACCCTGGTGAGATTCCCCCAAACAATCCAGATATGCCTGTTTTGCTATTCCTGAACCACAAGGGATGATTTTCAACTGAGACCACATTGCTACTCAGGAAGCTTGAGAGTCAGGTTCTTGGTGCGAGGGAAACAGATTCAGTTCTGTAGAGGAGAGATGTCCAGGATCTGCCAGGAAACAAGGTGCTGACCCCTAGGGACAATGGGGGTATGGGTGAAGTCCCCTTCTACTCCTGCTGTCAGACCTTGGCATGTTGCTGAACGTGGGGTCCACTGTCTGTGCCTCATTGGGTTAGAGAGAAAAGAGGGCTGACCCCTAGGGACAATGGGATTATGGGTGATGGCTTGACTTTGTCCCAAGGAAGAATTGGAGGCTTGTTTCAAAAGATACAACATGGAAAGAGGATTTCTAAGTATGAGGAGAGGGAGAGGGAGGGAGGGAGGGAGAGAGAGAGAGAGAGTCCCTAGGACACTAGAGGATATCAGAGCTTTGTTCTGAAAACTGAGCTTCATTTGACAGAAGAGTGAGTGAGCCTGGGATCTGTTAGACTCAAATGAGGGGTTGTGGGGGGTTCTGAGGAATCTCCACCACAGTGAACAGATCTCAGAATATTCTAGAAAAGCCTATTTTGCCTGTCCTGAACTACCCACTGTGTGAATCTCAGGTGACCACCCACTCAAAGTCAGAGCCTTATTCTGAGGACTGAGCTCCAAGTGGGAGGAGCAAAAGGCCTGGGTTCATTTAGATCATTGCTGGGCTGAGGGCAGAGTGAGGAAGCCCCACCTGAAAGAGAAGGTTCCCATAGTAACCCAGATCTGCCTTTGCTGTTAAGCCAACACCAGGCCTCCAGGTGAGGAGAATTAGAGCCTAGTTCTGAGGACTGTGCTTCAGGTCTAGGGAACAAAAAGGCCTGGGCTTAGGTAAAAGTGAGAGCCTGGGTGGGGGACATTGCTAAAGCCTCTCCTTAACATACAGTTTCCCCAACTAATCCAGATCTACCTCTGCTGTCATCTCCACATGACACAGGCAAAATTCTTAGGTATGAGCCCCTCACCCATGTCTTTCAGGTGACTCTTGGCATCAGAGCCTTGTTCTGAGGTCTGCATTTCAGGTGGGCTGAGAAGGTAAGAATTGAGATTGGTTGGGTTAAATTCAGGGGCTAAGGGTGAGAAAAAACGAACCATCCCAGGTTGAGAGTCCGGAAAATAACCCATTTCTGCCTCTGCTGACAGCCCTGCACTGTGCCGTGGAGACTTCTCAGGTGAGCACCCCCTTTTGCCTCAGGTACCCCTGGAATTCCCAGCCTGGTTCTGAGGAACCTGCTTAAGGTGAGAGCAGCAGAGAGGAACTGGGCTCAGCTAGGTAAATATAAGGAGCTGAGGGTAAATCTGGAAGCCCTAAGCCAGGTAGTGGGTCCCCAGATTTTGCATACCTGCCTGTGTTGTCATTGTGTACCTGTGACACACTTGCCAGGGCACTCCATTCCCACTCCTCATGCCCATGATGACCTTTCTGCCTTAGAAATCCCCAAGTGTCAGACACTTTGTCCAAAGGGGAGCACAGTGGGCTGACAGGGGGTCCTGGTGTTGGAAGAGACCAAGGTAAGGTCTGAGGGAAACCTGAGGGGACAATTCCTTTTAGAACTTCCTGTTAGCTCTGTGAAGACATGTGTAGGACAACCACTGACTTCTGCCTCTGGCATCAGAGAGAGGGGAGGGCTTTGTCCTACCTGAGACGAGAGCAGAGTGAGCCTTTTCCCACTCCAGGTAAGGTCCTTGATGGAGTGAAGAAACCCCAGCCTAGCAAGTCTGTCTGTGAACAATGTGGGTCCATCTCTATTATTGGACCTCACAGGGGCTGGTTTGTAAGAATGAGTCCTCTCCATCTTTTGGCTTTCATGTGTCAAGGCACACTCAGTAAACAGGGATGAGGTTCAGACTTCCTAGAGCTAGGATCAGCCCCCAGAGGGAGGAATGAGGGCACGCACCTCACCCACATGAGGGACTTCTCTACCCCAGGCATAAGACACAGCAACGCCTGAGCATGGTGCTTGGATGTGTGATTTCCCAAATTCTATGGGTGAGGACTTGAGAAAGCTAACAGCCTTGGTCACAGAGGAGAGGCCTTACACTTCAGAACAGAGCGGACCCCACAGAAGTCTGCTCTTGTTATGTATCCAGGGAAGCCCCATGTGGGGTTATCAGGCAGGGGATTCCTGACTTCAACAGGATCTGAGGGACCCTAGGATCTTTGAAGAAGAGGAAGACCTCAGGGTAAAGGAAGACTCCAGTACTGGCCCAGTCAAGATGAGAAGTGAGGCAGGACTGCAGGGCCCAGGACACAGGACAGATGGGACCCAGCCTGCCTAATCTTTCAATCTGAGTGGAGTCTTGCATTCCTACCTAGAATATGAGGGAGGAGAACTCAGCTCCTCAGAAGAGGGAAGCTTTTTCCAGGACTCAAGGGAAGGACTTACACAGACATTGGTCACGAATTCAGAGGGTGACCTCTTCCCAGATGTCAGCCTCTGGGAGATGTAGTGCACCCTTGCCCCTGGCTCTTGGTGTCAGGGATGAGAAGGCCTTGAACTGAGGCATGCGGCCACAGGTCAGCAGATCCAACACATGGGAAGCCTGGCCCTGCTGGCAGGCTGGGGTGGCCTCAGGCAGGACCATGACGAAGAGTCACCCTGCCCCGTCCTTCCACCTCTGCTGTCCTAGGGAGATGGTGGACTTGATTTGCCAGATGCATCCGCAGGGCAGCAGCAGGGAAATGTAAACACCTGGGCCTGCACCAGACAAGGGAGGGCTTCTGGATCCTACTCCTCTGTCAGTCTGGGGAAACCCATATAGAGGTGTGCAGATTTGCTGCATTTTTGTCCCCCTGGTCTCAGGCAGGACCGCCTTGCTGTGAGGATCTTCACCAGGTCGCAGGCAGAGACACGTCCTGTCAGCAAAGGGAGCAGGCGGGATCTGCTGGGAATCAAGGTGAGGAACTTGGGTGAGGACTAGAGATTGTTGTTTCTTTATTGGTTCATGTTCGTTATACATAATGATTACATTCATCATGGGGAGCTAGTACAAGTACATGACACATATTCTTTTTATTTCTTTCCTTTTCCTCTCTTCCCCTCCCTTTACGGCTCTATTGTTTCTTTTTATATAAATTCTTCAAATTCATTGACTGATGCTTCATTGTTGCAATTTTTATGTCTTGTGCTTACTTTAGGAGTTCATATATATGTGGAATTTTAATTTTTTATCTGAATTCTCCATTTTAGTAGGTTCTTAAAGTAGTTATGATCTCAGGATTCTGGTAGAGTCCATTGTGATTTTGCCTTTAGCATTTATAATTGCTTGGATTTAGGTCCATTTTTTTTTTCTTGTTTTGCTAGGAACGGGAAGGCTTTTGGCAATTTTGTTCATTCTTTTCAATGAAGCAACTCTTCAATTTTCATCTTTTTTTTTTTTTTTTAGCTTCTACAAAGGCTCAAATTATCAATGCTTTAGATTTTCAAAACTAGAGCAACTCAGGCTGTGCCTGACCTCTGGCTACCAGGGCAGGGCCTGTGCCCTTCCCAGCAGAGGTAAAAACACTGAAGGTGTCTGTTTTCAGTCCACTCTCCATCTACAGCTGGTTCCGAGAATGTCTCCCACCAATTCAGTACGGGAGGGTAACACTGGAAACTCTGAAATGAATCTGTCTTGTGGCTGTTCTGAGTCCCACACTCCACATTTTCTCTATCCATTCATCTTTTTATTTGAACAAAGCTTCCCAGTTCCTTATATTTATCCTCAATTTTGCTTCTTGATAATACTTTTGATTTTTTCCACAAGAGAAAAAAATGCTGTATTTGAATCTACTTCACTTAAGATGATGATCTAGAGGCACATTCATTTACCTAAAAATGTCTCGAGTTTATGCTTCTTTGTGACAGAGTAGTATTCCATTGTATATAAGTACAGTTCATAGTAGCCAAATCTTGGAAAGAGTCTCTATACTTTTCATTTTATTAGCTGTATTTTTTTATCTGTACATATTTGTCATACATGTTGATCGCATGCACTATAGGGAATTAGTACCTTTATGTGTTATATTACTTCTGTTTTCCTTATTCCCTTTCCTTTCCTTCAAGCCTTCTTTCTCTCCCTATTTATAAAAGCTTTGTTTCCATTTTTCTCTTTTGATTCTCTTTCTTTCTTTTCTTCCCTCTCTCCCTTCCCTGTTCCTCTTTCTATAGGAACGTTTCCTTCCTACTTCCTAATATTTAATCTCCCACTGTGTTCCTCATTTACTCTTTGTGATTCTCACACAAGACAATGTGATATTTAAACTTGTGTGTCTGATTTATTTCACTTAAGATTGTGGTCTTGATGTGCATCCATTTTCCTATAAATGATACAAATGTATCTTTCTTTGTGGAAAAGTAGTGCTTCATTGTATATAAGTACATTTTTTATCCATTCATTTGTTGATGGCCACAGAGGCTTTTGCCAAGATTTAACTATTATAAGTTGTGCTGCTATAAACATGGATATGCATGCTTTTAATTCTTTTGGGGAGGTACCCAGAAGGGGAAGAGCTGGGTCAACTGGAACCTCTAATTTTAGTATTTTGAGGAATCTCCATAGTGATTTCCACAATGGTTGTATCATTTTACACTCCCAGCAGCAAAGGAGAAGGGTTCTTTATCTGTACAACTTTACAGAATTCCTGTGTTTTAATTTGTATTTCTCCAATGACCAGTGTGGTGATGAACATTTTTTTCATATATTTATTTGTCTATTCATTTGAGATGCTCAGTTTTGGATTGGGTCTTTAAATTTAAGGGGGAATGATTTTTTTAGTTCTTTATATATTCTGGATGTTAGTCTTTTGTTTGAGGAATAGATGGTAATATTTTTATCCCATTCTGGATATTATCTCTTCACTCTGTGGTTTCTTTTGTAGTGCAACCACTTTCTAATTTAATTTCATCCCACTTGTTGATTCTTTCAAATATTTCCTGTGGGATTGAATTTTTGTTCATAAAATCTATGCCTACACCTATATTTTCAAGAGCTTTACCATTTTAACTTCCAGCAGATTGTTTCTCCTTTTATAATTAGATCCTTGATCCATTTCAATTTTAATTTAGTGCACGGTGAGACATAGGCATCTAGGTTGAATTTTTGGCATGTGGAAAGACAGTTTCCCCAGCACCATTTGTTAAAGAGGCCGTCCTTCCTCCAGTGAAGGTGTTTGGCCCCTATGTCAAAGATATGGTAGCTGACTGTGTTTATAGTGCTTCATGCATCTTCTATTCTGTTCCATTGATCCTTCTATTTTTTAGTCAGTACAATGGTGTTTTTATTACAGTATTTTTGTAGCATAAGTTCAAATTGTGATGTCCCCTGAACTGCTGTTGTTGCCCAGATTTGCTTTTGCTGTTCTAGGTCTCTTCTGGTTCCATAGAAATTTTGTGGTTGTTTTCTCCAGTTCTGTGATGTATGCCATTGGTATTTTGATTGGGATTGCTCTAAATCTGTATAACAGTTTTAGAAGTATGGCCATTTTCACAATATTGGTTCTGCCTATCCAAGAAAGGGGATATCATTCAATTTTCTGATATCCTCTTCAATCTCCTTTTCAAGAGCATTGTAGTTTTCAGGGGATATGTATTTCACTTCCTTTGTTAAATTGAGTCCTAAGTATTTCATTTGTCTTGATGCTATTGTGAAAGGTATGGTTTCTCTAATTTATCTTTCAGTGAATTTGTTATTCATGTCCATGAATGCTATTGATTTTTGAGTGCTAACTTTGTAACCTGGTACACTGATAAATTTGATTATAAATTCTAGGAGTTTTTGTGGTCTTCTGTGTAGAGTATCTTGTCTTCAGCAAATAATGGTTCCTTAGCTTCTACCCTTCCTAAATTTATTCTTTTTATTTATTTCTGTCGGTCTAATTGCTCTGGCTAATGTTCACAGAACTCTCTGTAGTTTTCAAATTTCATATCAGGTCATTCAGGATTCCTGGGGATCTACTTCTTTCTGTTTCTCCTTTTTTCCTCTTCCTCAATAGTGATTTCCAGAGCCTGGATTCTGAACCTTGGAGTAGCTGAGCGGTTATGGCTCACCACTCTGTTTTCCAGCATTGAAGGTTTGAAGCTATGTCATGCCCAGAAGCAAAGGGACCCCACAGAGCCTGGCTTCTACCCTGTTATCAGCCTGGAGATCTTGGTGAGGGTGGCTGTGTATAAAGAGATCGCCATTCTACTGAGTGGTTGCAGGTGGGAGGACTTGCAGAGGTGAGAACCTTGGTCCAAAAGTGAGTAGAGAGAGATACATATGGTTAATAAATGGAGGATCACAGGAGTTGACACACCCAATAGATGGGCCTTGCATGAGGACTGAAGTCTGCAGCACAAAAATAATAGACCCCACAAAGTTTGCCTGCTCCCTGTGTCAGGCCTGAGAGACTCTTAACTGGCATGCTAACTTCTGCTCCAGGCTGGAAGGGAATCTTCAGGGAGATAAGGTCTAGGTCTCCAATGGGAAGATTAGGTCTTAGGAGGAGTGGAGCTAAGGGAGTGCAGGCCTAGGAAGGAGGAAGATGGAGAAACTTCAGAAGCACATAGCAGATGCCTTGCTCGTGTCCTCATTTCTGAGACACAATACCTGACACCTGCAGTTTAATGGAAGGAAAGTTGATATGTGCTAATAACTTAAGGAGTTTTCAGTCCATAGTCAGCCATAGTAGAAGGGCCTGGTGGGAGAAAAGCTCCTAACCACAAGTCTTTCAGGAGGCAGAGCACAAAGGGAGACTCCAGATTCCAGGAAGGAAGATAAACCCTGTTCTGTCACACCCACAGTGACCCTCCTCTTTCTAAATGGCCCAGCCTCATGACAGCCATAAGCCTCCATAATCCAATCACTTTCCAAGGGTCCTGCATATAGAACCATGGGACTTTGGGGAAAAATCTATATTTAACCTGGAAGAGGGATTCTGAATCACAGGAGAAATGGGCACTGGCCTTGCCATCAGCACTGATGTCCCTATATAGGGGTGACAGCATGGGTGCCTGCTCAGTTCATCTGAGAATCCTAGAGACTTCAGTGAGGTGGTGGACTCAATATAAGTTTGGGCCTGAGATTGTCACAAGGAACTCCACCTGTTCAGGAGATCCACAGGTGTCCCAGAGCCTTCCAAGAGTCAAGGTGAAGATCCTAAGGAAGGATTTTGTGTACTCCTACCTGAACACAGACAGGTCTGTGGTCATCTGACATCAGACCTCAGCTTGCCATCATTCCAGGTAGCCTGGGCTTGGCTGTCAGGTCACTGGTCTCAGTGAGGTCAAGGCCTTGGTACAAGCGTGCTAAAAACATGAAAGCAGAATTAGGAACACAGGGTCTAGGTGAGGCAAAGTGAACCCACTCACCTGAAAACACAGTATTCTAGCCTCAGCCTGTCCCTTTTGTAACCTGTTGTCAGACCTAGGACTTGAGTCCCCCCCACTTTCTCTTTGAATTTCTCACAGTGATATTGTGGTAGTTTAAAGAAGATGGCCCCAAGTCATTGAAGGAAGATTCAAAGACCTAATAATTTATCAAGATAAAGATATAACAGTTTTCTAGGGCACATGGACCCCACTGAAATGTTTTACCTGTAGCTCTTGGGTGCAGGGAATAGTGGCAAGATGTGTATCCCCCTTACAGACTTTTGTTCCCTCTCAAGGAGGTAGACATCTTTTTTGAGAGTTTGTCTCAGGTCCCTAGCCAGCAGGGCTCCGGGCACTACTCAAAGACATTTGAGGGCCCCACATGAGCAGAGAAAGGACCATTCACCCAGAACAGGGGGAAACTAAGAGTCCAGCACATCCGTCCTGCAAGGGCTGGGATACAGTCACTGTGGCTGTAGACTACAGATTGAGGGACCCTCCATGCATCTTGCAGGAGCTCCGGGAACCAGGTGGCAAAGGTCGTGGTGTGAGGCAGTGTCCTCCGGTCACACAAGAGAGGAGGCTCAGGAGTCAAGGTGAGGTGCATGCTCTGATGTGTATTCAGGGTTCCACCTGTCCCAGAGAAAGGACACCTCATAGTCCCCAGACTGTATGTGCTGTACTGTCTGCCCTAGAGCCTGGTCCTCTGCAGTTCATCTGCAGCCTGAGGAGCAGCCTTATTTCATGTCCAAAGGATCATGGGGACAAGGATAAGGGAGGACAGGAGCCTCTGAAGCCCTATAGCACCCCTCAAAGAGAAGACCTATAATAAACCTTAGTGGGAGGCTACCGGTGTATTGTTCTCGGCTCAGAACACTAAAAGACTCCCTCTTTCCTTCAGGTATCTGAGTCTTCAGTAACAAGATCTTGCTGTCCCCACAGATCATCATGATGCCTCATGGTCAGAGGAGTCAAGACAGTAACCTGGAGGGAGACTATTCTACCCAGAGTGGTGCACAGGTCTTCGTTGATGTGCAAGGTCTCGAAGAGACAGTGGAGGAGGAAACAGCAGCCACTGCTTCCTCTGCATCCTGTCCCTCTTATAATGTAATCAGAACAACACCAAGAGAAGCACCTGGGCTTGGAACACTGAGTTGTCTTCAGAATTCTCAAGGCATCTCCTGTCCCCCTAGTGCCACAGTTTCCAGTCAAAAAAATCAATGCAGTGAGGGTTCCAGTAGACAAGAAAAGCGGGGTTCAAGACCCTTATGGGACATGGACGTTCCTCGGTTCCTACGCAATGTGCTCCTAAATGATAAGTTGCGTAAGTTGGTGTCCTTTCTGCTCTGTAAGTATCAAAAGAAAGAACAGACCACCCTGGAAGAAATGCTTCATGTTGTAGATGATGATTACCGTGAGCACCTCCTTCTGACCTTCAGGGAACTCTGTGAGTCCATATGTCTGGGCTTTGGTATTGAGGTTAAGGAAGTGGATCCCCCTGGACATACATATGTCCTTGTCCCTGTTTTAGGCCTCACTTACAATGGCATACTGGATGATGATGACCAGATCATTGCCAAATTCGACCTCTTGATATATACCCTGACTGCAGTCTTCATGAGGGGCAACCAAGTCAGTGAGAAGGTACTAAAGAAACAAGTGATAAAATGGGGGATGTTAGCTCTGAGGGAGCACATTGTTATTGGGGAGCCCTGGAAGTTCATCACAGAGGATTTGGTGCGGGAAGAGTACCTGGTATACCAGCGGGTTCCTAATAGTGATCCCGCTCGCTATGAGTTCCTATGGGGTCCAAGAGCCCATGCTGAAACCACCCAGATGAAACTCCTAGAGCATGTGGCCCAGCTCAATAGGGCAGATCCCAGGTCTTACCCACAATTATATAACCAAGCTTTGAGAGAAGAAAATGGTATGTTCAGGGCCCATGAGGGGCAAAATGTGTGACAGGGACAGGGAGTGTTCCACAACAACTTCACTGGCTTAGCCCGCACCTTGTGTGAAATGAGCCTCATTTTCAGTCTGTTTATAGAGAGCAGGCAGTTTTCTAAGTAGTGAGGGGCCAAAAGAGAGGGTAAAATATTATGCATAGCATTTTGATGTCTCTTCTATTTGGGATACTTGGAAATGGACAAGGGTTTTCTTTGACTTTTTGAAGTCTTGTTTCTTTTTTGTGAGATTGAAGTGACTTGCACATCTTATTTGAAGAATGGTATTGATCACACATGCATTTTTAATGTTTTGATGTTGATGCTTCATTGTGTTTTGTGATGTAAATGATTTTATGTGACATTGATCACAGATGGATTTACTTCACCAATCCAAGTGTAAGAGTCTTTCCTGTTTTATCATACAAATGCAGAAACCATCCAATTTATTTGTGATAAAATATGATTGGAATAGGAATTACCTTGGAAAGTTGTAAGAAGTTTATATAAAGTTAGATAGAGCCTAGAAATATAAATAAGGATGCAAATCAATTATTGGCTTCTTATTTATTTTCATTTTATGTATACACTTTTGAAATTATGTATACTGTATGCCTGAATATGGTTATTTTCTTCAAATTTATTAGAGAAATTTATTGTCAATAAAGAACCTCATGTGCTAATGGAAACATTGAGCCCAAACTTTCATTGCAACTGTGCCCTTCGGTAAGCCCTTTGTCTGTGGTGGAGACATGAGTAAACCAGATTAAGGAGGATCAAAACTATCCCATAAGATGGTGGAGTCCAGGAGTACCGCCAATATTGGGGAGATAGAGGGATGTCCTCAAGGACCTAAAGGACAGGTAGCAGAGCACTGCAAGACTTAAGTCTAATGGAGAGCAGCCATTGTGAGTGCTGAGCCATGGAAGTTTGGGGCTTAGGGTAACTGCAGTCTGCAGGAGCTGATTTTAATGTAGCTTCATGGTAGGCAAGGCCAGACCCTCAAATCAGATGTCCTGGGCCTGAAATAAAAGTCTGAGAGGATGGAAGACTGCTCTGAGCAGTACTTTTAGATGGTGGGTGAAGCTCTGAGGAATCTCCATGTGGGACAGCTATGAGAAGAGTGGTCCTATGCAGGGCAAGAAGCAGGATTTTATTCCCAGCCTCTGTAATGATTTCCTGAGAGGTAAGGGTGACTCTCAGGTGAAGTGAGGCCCTGATGTCCCTTGCCATGTGCTCTGCTGTCTATTGGGAGTGTCTACCTTCCAAAATCATGCAGTGCCAGTTGACCACTTTCCTGGGGACAACTTCTTCTCTTGAGTTCAGTTTGCCCTAACATGTTTACAAGATGGACATGGACACCTGGCCGGTCACCTTAGCCAGTTACACCAGTGGTCAGATCAGTGCCTGATCAAGTGGTTCTCTCTGCAGAACCCTTCTCAATATTCACAAGTGTCTTCCCCTTGTCTTACCCAGGACTCAGTCTGTACCAGCTTGTTAGTGTTTGCAGTACATTGAATTTCGCTTGAAGTTTCCTGGAGTTGCATCTGTGCTCAGCTGGCCTTGTCACTAGCATTAGTCCTCATTGTCATAGAGTCCTCATGAGCCCCAAGGCTAGACTTTTGGTGAATAGGATATGATTGCAAATAGTTGTTCACTTGGAAGGGAAGCTGGCAGGGAGGGGATATGGTTCTTCAACCAAATTCGTAAAGCTGTGAATTATTTGCTGTCAACAGGGACAGATTTCCCCATATCTTATCATAAATACATACTGTCAGAGAAAACATATTGAGGAGTGATTATTTTATAGGTTCTTTTTTTGCCTGGTTTTCTTTAGTTTACTATTGACATGAAACTTTCATGAGAAACACAAAGTTTTCAGAAAAACTGTGGAAGTGTCTCTGCTTATGGTTATACTAGAACCAGCTGCTAGTCACCAAATATTCAATTTATGTCAGAAATTTTGCTAGGTATTTTAGTACATTTGTTATAGTCCACAGGTCCTACAAAAGAAGTGGGTCAAACCCACTTTATAGATGAAAAACTTGAGGCCTACGGGGCTCAGGAACTTCTCAGGACGCCTGTGTGGCAAATGACGAGGCCAGGACTAGACTCTCGGTGTGAGGTCATCTAGAAGCCACCCTGTTCCCATTCCTCTCGAGTTGAACCCAGCTGTGTTTCTGAATTTATTTCTGTAGTCAGAAAAATTTTTTTTAAATCTGTAGAAAGTCCCCATGTCCAAAGCACTGACCCGGCCTGAATAAAGAATGTAAAATGAGCAGGCGTTGGGTGCACCCTACTCCCAGGGAACTGCCCAGAATCACCTCCCTAACCCACATCATGTGGAAGGCCCTGCCTGGCACTTTACTCACCATGGAAGCTCTCCAATAGCAGCAGCCTTTTGACGTAAAAGTTAACTTTGGATTACGATGTATAGACCCTGAGTTCTATACCTGAGAAGCAAAATAACACACTCTCAAGCTTTCCCAAATGTGTGTTAAGTGGTTTGACCTGGAACATTATCTACTCCTTGTCCTGCCTGGTAAATTGGGGTAGATTTTGAGACCATCTTGACATTTTTGTAGGCTTTTAATGGAATGAGTTACTAGAAAAGGTCCACAGAACACATATGTAGTGCATGAGTTTATGTGGGTGGTCAAACCCAAAGAAACCTGAGAAGCTGTAGGTGAGACAGGACCATGCTCACTACAGTAGTGGAAAGAAAAACATCTGCTGGGGCTGCATTCCTCCAAACCCTGAAGTCCTCTGAGTAGGTGGCAAGTGCTTCTCATTTGAATTTAAAAATTTTCCATAGGGAAATCCTGGTTTTCAATATATGCAGTGACACTCTTACTGATGTTCTGACAAGGACAGATATATGCTCTGTAGGAGCAACTCACAGGTTGGCAGACTGGCCTTGAATCCAAAGACAGGAGAAAATTGTCAGCCTGCTAAGATCAGAGATTATTGTGAAGGGAATAATACACAAGTGCTAACGAATAAAGATGAAAACCTCTCCTGCTAATACTTTTACAATAATATGGAAATGAGATTGCTTTTGTTATCACATAGTAGGTGGACACTTGAAAAGGCTGTGGAATATCTCCTCCCCCCCAAAAAAAAACAGAGAAGAGGCCATCAGCCAAGCACAGAAACCCATCAATCAATCTTATTGAAGCAAGGGGTTCGCAAATTACAAGGCAGCCTTGGCAAAATAGTGATACCCTATCTCAAAATATTAAAAAAGCACTGGGGATGTAACTCAATAGTGTGCTGGGATAGCATGCAGAAGACCATCAATCCTCAATATAGCATGGCAAAAATAAGAAGTTGACCCAACAAACCAGGAGTAGAGGCCTCACTAGAAACCAATATATTTGCAGGCACTTTCATCTGGTTGAAGTAACATGTAGTAGTGTGAGTAGATAGATATATTTCTTTCTCAGTTGGCCCAGTCTGTTGTAATTAATTACGAATCCACTAACATAAATTCATAGCACTTTAAATAAACAAGCAGAACAACTGGACATAAGGACACTCTAGAAACAGAAAACTAGAAGTATGAGATAACTAGTTCCAACACACATCTGAGAGCACTGTGCTCAACAATAGCAGGACCAATGTGTGTCTGATGAGCACACAAAACTTCCTCCAGGACAGACCTCACGGCAGACCACGAAACAAGCTTGACAACCTGAAGAGGTTAAAGAGGGCGTGAATTCATACGCAGTATGTTCCCTGAACAAAGACCATGAAATTAGAAGTCAATCGCAAGGACATTGGGGAAGTATGCAAAACAAAGGGAAGGAAGCAATGCATTTGTATACGTCCATGTGATTTCTAGGCCTACCATAAAGATCCACTAACTGGCTGAGTGACTGAAACCACAAATATTTATTTTCTCATAGTCCTGAAGCCTGGAAGACTGGGATGGAGTTACTCACAGAGATCCATTCTCCCTTGGTTTGTAGGTGGCCATAGACATGCTATGTCTTCACACAATCATCTTGACATCTCCCATGTGTGTGTCCCAATCTCCTCTGTTCAAAAGGATATTCGATAACCAGGGTCTTTCTGCCCACTGCACAATGTGCTGATCCTTGTAACAAGTTGAGTGACATGGGAAGACTTTTTTGCAGTTGGTCAAGCATGGAGGTGGAGACCAATTGTGAAATCTGCCACCACAGGGACACTGATGGGATAGAAAGGGAGGATGCCATGGGCCAGGGATTTAGCTCAGCGGTTCGGTGGCCTGCCTTGCAAGCGCAAGGACCTGAGTTCAACCCCCGGTACCAAAAAGAAAAAAAAATTAAAAAGAAAGAAAGGGAGGATGCTTTGGGGCCTCGGAAAAGATAACTGGACAGGAAGAAGTGGTCTGCATGTACACAATCAACCTTCATAGCTCCCCAGTGGTCATATGATCTGAAAACTGAAACATTAGCGTGGTCTGAGTGTAGATTTTAGGAACTTTTACACCAAATGGTTACCCATTGGACACCTGCCCAAATGCCAGTGCCATGTAGATGACATCCACATAAGGAGCCTCCCAGTCCCAGAAAAGTAAGCTAGACAAACTATGATCCTGACACACCTTGCAAAACAATCCCTACCAAAACGCTAGTGGCCTAGAGATAGTAAGATTGCTCAGAAACTCCAAAAACTGCAGAAACTCGAAAATTAGTGATCTTTCATGTCAACACAAAGAAATAACTAAAAGCAAATGAACACAGAGAATTGATTTATGTCTTTCTGTTGGTTTTAAATACAACAGTCAGATGGAATTTGAGATGGAATGACTTCATTTTACCTCCATTGCTTCTTTTTTTTTATTGAATTTATTGGTACATTCTAGGTAGACAGTATAGTTACATTCATTATTGGGATCTTGTACCTTTACATGCCAGGTCTTGGTTCTCATTTTTCACTTTGTTCCCACCCTCCCTTCACCCCCTCTTCCCCTCCCCACCTACAAAGACTTTAATTCCATTTTTACATTTTCTCATATGGATAAACACAGTCATACTGTGAGGTATTCCAAGGGGACACATTTAATAATTTCTTGCTAAAGGATGAAATTAAGTCCATAACAATATCCAATGGATCACAGGACATATCACTAAAGAAACTAGA